AAAATATTCACTGTTTCGTATTTCAATGATATCCGTTTATAGAATTCAAGTGATGAAACAAAACATCAATTATCGGCTTTCATTTAAAAATATAAGATGAATTTTAAAAAAAAAAGTCGATTCTTACTGCAAGATCATTTTCATCATCCCGATAAAATATATTATTCTATACAGGATTCTTTTTTATAGAAATTAAAATCTTAATTGATTTATACAAGGATGCTACTAAATTAAAACCATAGTTTATCAACGATTTCAGTAATGGGACAATTTGTTTCAAAAATGATCAACTCAAATCAATTCAAAACATGAATTGAATGAGTTATGTTGAGTTGAGTTGAATTGATACAAAGCTTTGGAATCCAAGTTATTGAATTTATGAGATAATTTTTTTAGAAATCGAACAATTGATTGGATTGAAAAATATTTCGTAAGATCAATGAATTCATTTGAGGAAATTTTAGAATTTATGAAGTAAATTTAAATCACAATGATATTTTCACTCAACAAATTCAAATGTATCGGCCATCTTTTCTGCTTATATATGGCTCAATCGTAAGTTTTAATATTCATGCTGAATAATCGAATGAAAACTTGTGGAATAAATAAATTTTCGTAGCAGTTATCCGCCTAGAGAATTGATTAATTTAACTAAAAATATAATATAAATCGCGAAACGAAAAGTTGAATTTCCACCGATCAAATAAAGATCAATTGAAGAAATAATATAATTTCGCGAATATTTTGTACTATATATAGTATCCTCTTCTCTATCATGCATAAAATGATTGGTAGAAATGATGTTGAAGTATTTTATTCGTTTTCTTCATGATTACAAGCTAAAATTAATTGATTTCGAGTGAAATCATTAGAACCTATGTCTTAGTTAATGTATTATGGCTAATTCGAATATAAACTGCTATCTATCTTCTGAATCTGTATTAGAAAATCTTTTATGTTAATTTACTAAATAATATTGTTAATTGACAAATGGAAAATAAAATGCATCAATTCACTGACAAATAGTTTATTTATGTACCAGTACGTCGTCCGTCTAATTAAGCGACACAAGAACATCATCGTTATCGTCAACAAAAAGAGACAAATATAATTACATACGATGTGCAACAATAACATATACGTGGGCAATTTGTTTCTCAAAACTTTAATAGGTTAGTTTAAGTCATTAAACAATATTTACGAATTATTTTCTCAAGCTACTTCAACTTAACTAATATGAGTTTCAATTAGTGTAAATATCAGCACATAAAATTAATATCGTTCGAGTTTGAGCAAATCATCAAGATGATAAAAGAAAAATAAAAAATAAAATAAAATGATGTTTGAATTTTACTGAAATTAATTCGATCATAAAGGACATATATTGAGAATTGTTTTGATGTTACAGTGAAAGAGTGTGAATCATGAACTCGAGTTTGGTTTACTTCTGACGGTCAATCGATGACCCATTTTGAGAAAATAAGACATTCAGGAAACCAAAAACACATGGTCATTATTCGGACGAGAATATCGACTCATTATACGTATGATGTATCACATTAGTGTTTCTCGTTGATTAAAGCCATCTTCTCATTTCAGAGTGCATGTGTATTTATATTTTGTTTCTTCTGTACAACCACTGCCTTTGCATATCAATGAACTGAGTTTGGTTGATGCACTATATTCAGACGCTTATTTGGGTTGTATGAGAGCCATTACTGAATGATGAATCGCTCGCATATCTGCCTAGCTATTTCATTGAAGGGCATTAATAATACACTTACGATTTGTAATGATAATTTCGTGGATTCACAAACAAATGTATGTTGTTGATATTAAATGAGACACATCAAAAAAACTTCAGTGATTCAAAGGCAATGTTATTAAATATGCTGGGATTGATTCAAGCTAATATCACATTAAACAACATGAATACCTCGCCTTTTTCCGACATCACAATAATTTTCATTACTTAAGCTAGGTAGAATATTTATTTGAAATTGAAGAGAAAGAAACAGACAATAAAAGACACACATTATTGATGTTGTTAAAAACTAACAAAGTTAGTAAAACTAACAAAGAACCATCTACATAACCAAATAGGTCTGAAGATGAAGATCTTGTTGCTTTGCATTAGTTGAAATACCCATGCCAGATTGTTGTCCATTGTATAAGAAACAAATGAATAATTCCCAATTGAAACATATATGGAGTCCACCGTGAATGAGTGTGCTACCTTGCTATTGATAACAAGTCGATATGTCTGATTTATATACTACTCTGATTGAATATGCTGGTATTTTCAACTTTAGATATGACTCAAGATCACACCAAAATTGAACACACTCAATAAACTCTTTATTCAATGAGATGGTACCTTTCAACGAGAAGCTGAGGATTCATAAAATATTCATCGTTCATGAAACAAATGAACAGTTCGTAAGAAGGTTTGTTTTGAATATTTTGCTCGATCTATACCGAAGATTGACGATTCATCAGACGTTCATTGATCATGAAATAGCCTAGCAGTTTATCACAACACTCTTCTATTCGAATATTTTGCTGGCTTCATATCACAATTTGAGGATTCATGAGACACTTTGTGCTCATGGAAGAAGCAAATACTTCTTACGAAGTTTCTATCCAATTATTATTATCTAAATTCATCAAAGGTGATCGTTGACGATATAAATTACAATCGGATGATAGATGAGTAATCTTTACAAAGGATGAATTCATATATTTTTTTAAGCTGTGCTGAACATTTTGTGTTCTTGATAGGACTAAAGATCACGTCTAAAAGAAACAGTTCAAAGTTAGAAGCGTCGATTCAATTTTCTTTATAATAGGAAATTCAATGTCTGGAGTAACTAAAAAAAGTCCATAAGCACATAGCTATTGAATAGTTGAAAGCATACCTTCAGTCTCATATCTGCTATTTTGTGAACCATCGGGTATATGTTGACAATGCAGGCATTGATTGAATATTTTGTGATAACACTAGAGGACAGCTGTTTCCGGATTCAAGAACGACAGATAGCCATTAAGATGTGACAACCAGACTAACTAGAAAACCTCTCCAACTGTCCAATCGCTTTTTGATCGAGTGTATGCTCAAACGATAGATCTTATTAACCTGATAAGAAACTTGATTTATCTCCAAACTCTGAGATCTTAATTAGTACTGAGTGCTTTAATATTGATATAATTTTTGTCCGTGTCGAAGCATGTTTAGTCAAGATATCGACTATGTTAGTACAGCAAAACTAGCAATAGTAACAATCTAATATTTTCACTTAGGAGACCTGGATAACCAAATCCTTGTAAGGTATTTAATAGCTCACTAAGGTCTACGGTTAGAGTATATACTCGACCAAAAAGCGATTGAACAATTAGTTAGAGACGTTCTCTCATGAGCGAAGACTGTTGGTTATTTGAATGGTATAAACAACCAA